ATGAGTCGGCGGCCAAACAAAAAGCCACACCATCCTGGCCTTCATACCATAATATTTTCAGCCCAACAAGAGGAAATTCCGGTTAAATGTCCATTTTAACGAGCCGATAAAGTATAGAAACCGATTCTATGATGGCTTGATAACCTCTTGCTTTATTTACTTTCGCGAAAACAGCAAGAAAAATCAAATAAGCTGTAATGGTGCCAGTGACTGAAAAAATCTGGTCGGCGACTCAAATTCAGCATCTCACCTTGCACATGCCATAATCTGTCAGTTTGATGTGTCCTTCACTGTCCATCAATACATTGTCCAGTTTGAGATCTCGGTATATGATGCCCTTGCTGTGTAGGTAGTGCAATGCGATGCAAATCTCGGCGGCGTAGAAACGCGCATACTCCTCGTGCAGACGAAGGTTCCGCTGCATGTAGTACATCAGGTCACCGCCGTTCACAAACTCGATAACAAAGAACAGACTGAGCAGGAGCAGAGCAGGGAACACAACAACGGAAAGATGTTAGTGGTTGCACGAGGGCGCATATTCACAGATGTTTTTGTGAATATCTATGCATCATATGCCATTCATTGATATGTGAGGTATTATATATTCATGTTTGCATTTCAGGTTTTTGTAGACGTGCCTATTTTTATAGTTGTACGTAGGCGTAGACGAGCCTAGTTTCGTTTGTTAACATAGTTTTAAATACAAGTGCGGACACACACACACACATATATATATACATATGTATGTATGTATGTATGTATGTATGTATGTATGTATGTATGTATGTATGTATGTATGTATGCATGTATGAAGAAGTGTGCGTGTGTCGATATGAATAGACCAAGAACTGTGAGAGAACAGGAAATCGTGAGATAATTAAGATAGGTTTACAAAATAAGAGGCTTATTCATTCCGTATATGAAAGATATGTGTGCAGGTTTCTAGGACTTGCGATGGATAGAGATAATTTTTACCTAACAGATGTACTATGTGCATGCATCCAATTTACAATTTTTCTAAATTTGTTCTACACTGCATAATAAATCAGCTTTTATTGATTTCTTGTATCCTAAACAGTAGTAGTAAAATGGTGACGAAGTAAAAGACCTCAAGGCTCGTGAGTGGCAGAGCAATAGTGACTAAAACATAAAGCCTGGGAGAAAAATTAAAGAATAGAACCAAAAACCTCATTTTCTGTAAAAAAAATAAGGGAGAGTACATTGTTTGAATAGCAAAATCCATTAGATGGTTCTTAGTTGTGATGAGTTAAGCCCATAATATGAATGGAAAAGAACAAACTTTGGTCTTCATAAGTAGATGGGGTTCTCACAGAAATATTCGTCACATTTGAGTCCTCGAGTCAGAATCTATTGTATATAGCGCTTATATTAGAGCAAACTAGCACAACAAAGCTGTGTTTCTAGCTGCGAGCTGGGGAGGCAAATGGAAAGAACAATGCTTGATACTCCAGACCAAAGGTTAAAAGATCTAGAATGTA